ATATTTAATTCATATTTAGGCCTTTACAGAAAAGGTTTGCTAACCTCTGAAACAGAATATGGGTTAGGAACTAAGATTAGAGAAAGTAATAACCTGCCTCATGCTACACATATGGTTTCTAGATTTCTTTCGCTCTAAAGTTTATGCTTTGAGACACTACTCAGAATACCCACTTGATAATTTGTTCTTTCCAATGCAGGATTTACAATTCTATGACTGCAGCTGTGTTACAAGAGGAACTTTCCCAGTTAAATCTTAGTATGCCATTTCTTTGCATCTGTCACCATCTTCATCATGTATAGGTTAACGTCTAAAGTCCTATGTAAGGTATTCAAAGTTCTTCCCAATTTTCACAGGTATCTTTCCCATTACTTTCTGGAACCATGGCTGCTTGCCAACTTAACTCCTTGCAGCTCACAGGTGTGCTATGCTCTACATGCCTCAATTCCTTGTTCACGTGTTTCCCTTTGACTCTGATTGTAACACTTTCTATTCTTTATTCACTTTGCAAATTTCCACTAGCTTCTCAATGATTGTTTCTTCTCAGGCTCTTTCTGAGTTTTCCTAGGAGGGCTGGGAGGTCTTTCTCACACAATTCTCTCATAGCATTTATGTTTGTAATGTTTTGTTTATTTACCTTTTACTCTATCATATACCATCTTTGAGTGTGGGTATTTTTATTTACCTTTATTTCTCTAGGCCCTAGGACATGTCATTGAGAATGTACACAATAAATAAAATAAAAACTCATGCATTATTTTTATTTATAACAGATGAATTTGTATTCTGCATTGTTTTCTGCAGTGTTTACAGCCACTATCTCTAGGACTTGACTAACAGTTTAGACAGCTGAATATAAATAACATTTCCCTAATTTCTAAGCAATTGTTTTCATATATTAATTCCTCTATTAAGAAACTACTCCTTCTCTTTAAAATACAAGCAAGATATTGAAGATCCTCAATCAATTAAATATTAATCAATGTCAAAACCTAAGGGTTATGAAACTTTTGAGCAGGCCAAATGACTTACTTGTGCTGAATTTATTTTTTGCTGTGTGTCTCAGCTTTTTTTAAGAACATTAGAGCAACTGTAGAGAACTATCAAAGGACTTCCCCAGAGCCAATTGCTTTATTATTGCTTATTTCATCAAAACAGGCATCTGACACACAGTAAATGACTGTATCAAATGTACCCTTTTATTCTCAAGAGCAATGTGTCAACTCTGAGCAGATACAGTGAATGTTTCCTAAACTTAAAAAAAAGCTTCCTGTTATAAAAATAAAGATGGCAAAGATACATCATCAACTGGCAAATAATAGTAATTTAGAGCTCAAAAGCGATCTTAGTCATCGTGTCTTTTAATTCCTTTTTTAAAGGAAGAAGCTAAAATCGAAATGTCACCTAATGTCATCTCCTGCTTAATGTCACAGAAATACTTGTGATGAATCCCCAGTTATATCCTCAACCTATTAGCGCTTTCAAAATCTTGGATGATGTAACTGTGTCTTTAAAAATAACATGGAAGATGAGAGACAAGAAACCATCACTAATTAATTTTTACTCTTTAGAAAGCAATGAAAATTTCCTCTTCCACTTCGGATGTAGAAAGCTGCAAGTCAGTGTCACTCCCCAACCCCCGACGAGAAAAGAACGCCAGGAATCCAAGAGGGGGTGTAACAAGGGAGGTGAGATTGCAAGGCAACCAGATGAACTAAGTTCCAAAGCCTGGCAAGTCCCTCTGGGGAGGAGACACTGTTTCACCTTTAGCACAGCTTGGCAGGAAGAGGGGGCGCCGTTAAATCAAGACAGAAGAAAATAGCTAAATCTTAATTAATTCACAAAGGCTGAGAGTGTTCTAAATGGCAGTTTGTAACTGCTTTGTCCAATAAGGTAGTGACTAGGAACCTGTGGCTATTTAAATTAAACTTACAATGAACCAAAATAAAATGAAATAAAAAATTAGTGGCCTCTGTGCTGGACAGTAAAGTATAAAACATTCCCGTCATGCAGAAGTTCTAGGACAGCACTGATTTAGAAGGGTTGGGAGTCCCAGACACGAGCAGAGTCCATACTCTCTCTCTAGCTCGTTTCAAGGTCTGCATCAGGTGCTCAGGAGAAATACTGAGGGTCAGAGAGCCATCCCCTGGGGGAACAGGCATGTGGGTGGTAACTGGTGCTGCTAAGACATTAAGGAGAAACCTGGGTCTTTCTTGAATAACAAAGCAGAAGCCATAAGGCACTGGGGAGGAGTGGAGAAATCTTTCCCCCAGTTTTCAGGCAAAGACACCCCCTTCTCAGGGGTGGGAGAAGTGAACGGGTCTCCTCCTGGGAGAGGGAGAAGCTCTCTAGGACCCGTGGTGATGCACTGATACAAAGCACAATTCTGCTATTACTGGGAAATGGGCAGAAACTCTCCAACCCGCCACCTTCCACAGATTTAAGGTAGACTTTGACTGGTGCCTGGCTCTGCTGGCAAGGGGGCTTTGCGTTCCTGGGCCCCATGGGACTGTCGGAGCTAGTCCATGGCAGGCTGCCACCCCCAGGGCCCTGCACAGACCAACACCCCCATCCTTCCTGTGAGAAAAGCCTATGTACTTGTATCAGCCTGAGGGGCAGGCTTCAGATCTGTGCACATGCAGAGGCCACAGAGGTGCTCTCAGTGTACAGGCCTGGGGATGCCCTCTTTATGCCCCACCTTGGCCTTATTACAGATGGCCAGCACCACCCAGAAAGGAGCTTATACAAGCATCTGGAGACCTAGATTTTGCAGCTGTCACCCAGGGGTCACCTCCAGATTACCTGGCCTGGAGCCTAGCAATTTTTATGATTTCAGTCCCACAGGGCCACATATATTCGCATACTGGCATTCCTCATTTATTGCACTTTGCTTTATTGCCCTTTGCAGATACTGCATTTTTTACAGATTGAAGATTTGTGGTAATCCTGTGTCAAGCAAGTCTAGTGGCACCATTTTCCCAAAAGCTTTTTCTCACTTTGTGTCTCTGTGTCATATTGTGGTTATCCTTGCAAATGGTAGCCTAAAAGCGTTTGCACTTAACAACATAACCACAAAGCTTCAAAATATATAAAGCATAAACTAAAAGAAGTGGAAGGCGATATGGACAAATCGACAGATGCAGGCGGAGACTTCCACACTCGTCAATCAGTATTAGAGCAACTAGACTGGAAACCAGTAAGGGTAGAGCAAGCTTGAAGAATCAACTTGATCTAATTGACATTTGTTGAAACTTCACCTGAAAGTGCTCAGAGAATACCCACCAAGACTGACCATATTTGGGGCCATAAAGCAAATCTCAACAATTTTCAAGTAAGTGAAATTGCACCATTGTGTTCTGTTATCACAACAGCATTTACCTAGAAATCAAAGATCTGTGCAAAGTTGTCACATTTTTGGACATTTAACAACACACTTCCAAGGCCACACATCGAAGAAATTTAAAAAGGAAACAAAATATTTAAACAGAACTCACTGCACATCATCAAATATCAGTGAGATATTCTAGACATTTTTTATCACTGACTTACCAAATTCCTTTACGAACCATTAGCTAAAGGGCTGACTCCTCCAGCTTTGACCACGAACAGCTGAGTGCATGCTAATGTACGTTGGGTCAACTTTGTGGCTCAGGGTTTTTTTTCCTGACTCTTTCTCCCATTAAGCAACTAAATTGAATTAATAGTTATTGATCACCTATTAAGCATAGGGCTCATGCCAGGTGCCTGTGAAATTATGAAGATGAGTAATGATGAGCTTCTGATTTCAAGGAGTTATATTATAGGCATTATATATCTAGATCTACTAGCTGGATCTATTGACTCCCAATTCATCTCTTTCTGGAACTTGTTTTAGACAGTATTTTACTAGGCAAGCTCTTCCTTTAATTCAACTAGGTCCTAGACTTGTTCATTACATCTATAAACCCTTGAAGGTCTTGGGTCTGTGCCATTCCTAAATTTCAGGACTCAATACTGCTCCTGGGACTCTGGCAAAGGAAACTTTATTTCATCTTTGACAGACATGTTAAAAATATGCCCTCTAGCTTGGTTCTGAGTTACTGCTTCTTGGTGTTTTTATTTCCTTTTATTCTAACAGAAAGTATCACTATGCCCTTTTCCTTAATTGCTACCAGACTGATCACATAAACCTGGCATTTAAAAAAACTGCAGCCACTGGAAAATCTGCAGTGAAGAACTATGAGCAAAAAGAACTCTGCTGAGCCATTAAATTCCTCTAGTGCTAAACTTTACCATCTTACAGATGGGAGTTTTTCTTCCATACCTTAACATATACAGTAGAGTTGCATCTTACTTTGAGATGAGGTATTAGACAGTAAAAAAAAAGAAAAATTCCATATTGTTAACAACACTCCTAAAAAAATTCCAAATGTCAGCTTTAACTCTTTATGACATTGACTTCTGAAGGTTAAGATGTCAAAGATTTTTTTTTCTTGGCATTTTTCTTTGGCAATGGACACCAAGGCTCCTGTGAGGGTGAGGTGGGGAATAGGAACTCATAAATAGTGACATCTTTTTCTCTCTTTCAGCTAAAAATGTATAGTTGAATTTGAGCAGGCTAAATATGAATCTAGTAAGTTCATTGTCTCAAAACCCAAATTGCTTAATGTGAGGATGTATGTTCTGGAAAAAAAATAGCTTAGTTGTGATCTTAGTATTAAGTCAAATAGCAGAAAATTGCACAGTCTCCTTATGAATCTAAAATTGTCATTCAGTCTAAAAATGCACTTTCTCCTTGAGGTTTCCTTTTTTTGATTTCAAGCAGGTTTTTGTTTAACAAAAGGTAACAGTAAAAAGAGAACAGTAAAACATTATCAAACTCCACAAGAAACTGTATTCTCAATAGAAAACAGAAATTTGAGTCTATGTCATTTGACTTCAAGGCAATTGATCTCTCAGTGAGAGTCCCAGGAGACACTCAGAGAAGAAAACGCGAGGACAATGTTCTACATGATGCTTACTTGTTAACACAGTGACGGATCGCGATGGCTTGGTAACCACATTTCCTTTTACCACTACCAGAGTGATTATATAATAAAGACCATGATAATGGGCCTTAAAGATAACAGGAGGAGGCAAAGTTCCGTTGAATTCCTCGAATTCAAAGAAGTAATTTTTTGATTCACCAGTTATCTTCACAACATACACAGAGGATGGACTCGTGACATCTGAAGCTTCTAATGAGACAACGATGTTATTATCATCTCGGACTGTTACGTGGAATGCTGTACCATTCTGTTTAAGAAAAGAGAAGAAAAGGAAATGGAAGTCAAATTCGGATTATTAGCTAGACAATTACCCTGAGAAAACTTTCCCAAAAGCATGTGAAAAGCATGATTTTGTAAAGTAGAGTAACTTAAGTGTTTTACTATACTGGGAAAAGCAGAAAGAGAAGGATTAACCCTCTTAATGACTTATGATCTTCTCAGGCTTTTATTTTTAAGAGCTTTCTCCATTGAAAAGCTACTTTCAGTTCATGGATTGAGTCATGCAATAAACACAAAATAGACATCATGGAAATGAGTAAATGTTAACTCTGGGGTGGAAAATTCCAGGGCAAAAACCTTTGAAACTAAAACCAGTCAAAGGGAGAAATAAAGTGGGAGAAACCTGTTTATTGCTTACAAGCAGTCACCCACTTCTGCTTGCCCGTGTCTCTTGCAACCCGGCTGCAGCAGAAGGGGCCCCACCCAACTTCTCAGGTCCAGATATGCCCTGCTGCCCCTTGTAATCACCTACTGATGTGGACACGGCCTACTTCTCTCCACCTCTTGGAAACACCTATTGATACGGAGATGCACTAAGGCCAGGGGAGAGCTTCTGGAAATATTGCAATTTTACCCACAGTAAATAATGAATGAAAGAGAATCATTTTGGCACTCAACTTCCCAAGAAGTCCTTAGTTTCAGCTTTGCTGGAGAAGCTATGTGGTTTGAGGAAATACTCTATTTTACTTTGGAGGGAGTAACTTTGTGGTAGTCCTTGGAATATTCTAGAAGAATGTTTCAAGGCAATCATTTCCTCTCTTACCACCTATCAGTTCTGGAAGTAAAAGTGTCAGGATAGAGGAGCTGTAATAATCCTTGTCATTAAAGGTTAGTCAGTCTTTAATAAGAGAACTAAGATGCTCTTTGAAGAAGGGACTAGAACAAGGACAGTGGGCTTCTCTGGGAAGGTCAGCAGTTAGTGGACTGAAAACTGTGCTTCAGGTCTCCAGGTAAATGTTTACGGACAGTGTTTGAAAAATCACTTACGTAGTTAGTTTAAATATTCCTTCTTGATTCTTTTCCCACAGGCAGAGGCAGATGAGTCCTGTGCGCCCTGGTCTCAAACAAGACTCATATACTTTGTACCACTTTCTGCTTTGTTTTTAATTTCTCTTTGGCTGTTGTGGTCACTAGGGCAACTTATTTTACTGCTCTGAGCCTCACATTTCACTTCTCTGAAAGTGGGACTGAAAAATTGCTGAAACTTAAGGACTTACAAGGACCCAGATACAAAGCTCAGCAGTCTATAAACACAATCATCTCATTTAATATTCATAATGCCCTCATGAGATAGATATTATTTTCAGTTTGAGTTTTTAGTTGATAAAATGAGGCTCAGAAAGGTGAAGTCGCTTGCCCAGCATCTAGTTTAGACTCTCCACCACTGGTCTGCACAAGTACATAATCTGAGCTCCGTTATCATCCCCCATGTCTGTCTGTCTTCCCCTCTTGACTTATTTTCCTAACACTGAGTCTGACACACAGTATAATTTCTAAATGAATGAAAGAATTGCTGATTGCATTAATTAAATGTGGGCATTCACCTCTTACAATTATCTACTTACTGATTTTTTTGGTATCTCACATAGTGTCAGCAGCCAAATCGAGCACACAATACATATCGGTACCTAAAAGAGACTATATAGACCTAAAAATGTACTGATATTTTTCTTTTTAAATTTTTTAGAAATACAGTTTTTACAGTACCTAGCACTTATCAAGAATATCTGGCCATTAATATAGTTCAATTCTATGTTAACATTTAGTAGACTTAACTGTGTTTGTGGTATTCTAACACTAGACCCAAAGTCCTGTAAAGGTGGGAACTTTATCTTGTTTCTAGCTGCAATTCTTTCTCTAAGACCAATGCCTGGCATGTGCTAGGTGTTTGGTGATCAGGCCAGTCCTGGACAGAGTCTGTAATATAGACTAGTCAGTATGGATTGACTTTTTAAATGTCCCTTTATCCACATCATATCTCATCCTCAGACTCATGCACAGGTTTCTAACATTGAGTTCTGTATTTCTGAGAGCAAACATCAAATGCAACCCATTTCATATTGCCAGAGATCCGGGTGGAATGTAAACCAAGTACAGAATACCCAATAGCATTGAAATCTGAATTTTTTCTCATTATTGATTCTGGAAGCTGATTCGCTAACCCAGAAAACAGTAAGTTCACAAGCATCAAAATAGGAATTATTACATGATTACTAATAATTGTTACCAAGGAATTTTAAGAATTTTTGCTCCATGTTTTAATAGCCAATAACTGGAAGTTTTTATGATAATAAAAAGAGGAATACATAGACTCACATTTGTGAAGTGTTTAAGAAATATAATGTCTAATGTGTCATGATGCTTTGTAGATAGTGAAATCTACCAGGAAAAGGGACGAATCTTCTGAAGTGTAGTAACAGTTTTGGGGATGCTTTTATCAGCTATGAAAATAAGCATCAGCCGTGTGCTTTCAGGTTGCCAAAAATAAATCAGGGTGGGCTAATCAGATTCAGTCAGTGGGATAATGAGGAGAAGGCAGAGGGCCAAGTGAGATCTAGGCAGTGGGCCTAACAGAAATGTCATCTATGCTATTTCTCTCCTCTCTGTCCTGTTTGTTTCGCTTTTCTTGGAACCTGTATTCAGGAGACAATGCTTCAGGCAAGCTTCAGGCATGTGATCCCTGCTGAGAAACAGAACAAAAAGTAGCAGAAACTGACCTAATAACCTTCGGCAAGGCAAACACCGATTTATTAGGTGGACAGAGGAACATTTAAAGCTTTTTTTTTACTTTGAGACTTTTTTTTTGCTGGACTCTGCGGGGAAAATTTTTTCACTGAAATTTCCTTTGCATAACCAAGTTTAATATAGACATTTCTCCAGTGCACCAGCCTCCTTTCACACTTGAGAGAACAGTGGTGCAAATGCCACCTAGCCAACGTATGTCACAACTAGGTCTAGGAGCCACACCGCATGGCTCTGGGAATTTCTCTTTCCAGAATTTGAGGCACCAATAGGAGCCTGAGTGCTGGCTTTGGCAAGGAGTGGGGTATGCTGGAGCCTGGAGCCTGTCCCATAGCCAGTCCTGGGGGAGAGATGCTACTGCAGACAGAGTGGGCAGTATTACAGAGGAGAAAGATACAGGATCAGTTCCTGGGCTGGGCTGCGACAAGGAACAGGATGTGGAGAGCCAAATGTGTAGAGGCAAGGCCGTCACATCCCGCAAGTTCTGCTCAGGGAACTGCCTGCCAGCACCACCCCCAGTTTACTGGAGGTGCAAGAATAGCCTCAGGCAGGTAAACAGCCCGGATGTGAGATCACTGTGGGTGGCTCACGGAAGTGAGCCTGTGTATATAAGCTGTGCAAAGAAATAAAACGGCGCCACAGGTCCGCCATCAGGGGTCAGTGCACCTCCTGTCGTCCCAAATTTGATTTCTTGTGTTTTTCTTGCATCTATCTCTGTGTTTTTCTTCTCTCCCACTGACCCCTCTCAAGTTCTTGGTTCTTGCAGAGCTGACCTCTGCAAAGTGGAACTGGCCACAAATATGTACCAGCCAGATATCTTAGGGAATCTCCACTGTCCCTGACAAATGTAGCCACATAATCTTTGGATCCACGAATATGGACCAGGCTTGCTGGGCACTTTATACATGTGTTTCTTTTATTCCTTATGACAATATTCAGAAGTGTTATAATCCCCATTTTATTTGGAGAGGTTAAATAACTTCCTTAAGAATCCAGCAACAGGCTAAGAATCAGAGGGCCTGCATGTCTGTTCCTTCTCTGCAACCTATTGCCTGGGACAGTTTGGGAAACCCAGGGACCTCTTAACTTCATCTTCTTACAACTCATGGGAACTTTAACTTTGTAAGGATTAAATGGCTTCTATAAAATGCTAACAGTGTAAACTCACTAAATATTAGTTGCCTTTCAAAGGTTATTGTGTTTCAGTTAAGTTTGAATCACTCAGTGACTTTTGAACTATCGAGATTCTATCAACATTCATTTGATTAACTTCAAAATACTACAGAATTCTGTAATTATGTTCATTGGATATTTTATTCAGAGAACATTGGAGAGTTATCCATTTCCTAATTCAACAATAAGCAAACATTAGCTAAGGGCCCCCTCGGCTCAGGCACCATGCTAGGTATTGGCAACAGGCAAGCAAGACAGGGAACTTGAACTCCAGGAGCCGACTCCAGTGAGAGCTGTGTGCTCAAATGCATCATTATCACACACTGAGAGTGTTACTAGATAGGAACTTTGAAAAATGGGTGTTTGATACCTGTTTTTTTCTGCCTGTCTGGAATCCCTTCTCAGATTGTATCCTCTTCTTTCCCACCATAAAGCCAGTAAGGGCTTCCTGATGGGGATCGCTCATTATGGTGCTCCACTCCCAGGTCAGCACAGGACAAACTTGGACTCAGTCTGGCTGAATCATAGCATCCAGTCCCATCTCCAGGAAAACAGTTACAGGGATACACATGTGACTAAGCCAGACACATGCTTACTCTGAAATTTTATAACTGGAATTAGTAGGAAGAAGCTCTTTCTCCTACTTAAAGTATATATGGCTGCAAAGATGGAGAAGTCTGGGCCTAAAATTTCTGCCCCAGGAAGATAGTTCCTTGAAGGAGAATCCCGCATTCGGTCTGAGGCCCTGATCCCAGTCACCCAAAGGCCATTGTGTGGTTTAGTGACATGAATGAATAAATCCCAGTTTATGCTTATGTTGTTCAAGCTAGACTTTGGTTTTGCAGCCAAAGGTTCTGGTCAATGTAAGAGAATTGTTCAGTGCTATAAGCAGGTAGATTAGAGAGCAATTAATTCTGCTTCAGAGGATGGTATAAGGGAGGTTTCAGGGTTGGAAGTGATGCTAGAAAGATGCTCAGGAGTTTACCAGAGGAACAAAGACCAGAAAATTCATCTGGAGAAGTGGGAAGAGACCCCACGGTCCTCCAGAATGGT